ATGCCTTGTGTCACACTTTCCGCTGATTAGATGAAATAAGGCTAACATGTGTGAAAATCAGCCCATCAGAAAATTGACAGGCGTTCCATCAAATTGACTACTGAGGTGATGTACCTTGACATAAAATGACATAAGTTGACAAGATTTGACATCAATTGACATAAAATGATATCACAGAACCTCACACGACATGGTTAAAAACCCTGCTTTACAGAAGGCAATATAGCTCGTTATCAGCCAGGCTTAATAAAGGACCTACTCTGGGTACTATCTGAGAATAAACTAAGGCTAAGGTATAAACTCAAGCTCAGGAACTCTGCCGGATTGTGAGTTGAATACGCTGTCTACTACGAATTAAACTGAATGACTCGATAGTTTTACGTATTCTTCCATGTGTTACAGAACTAAGAAATGACTGGAAAAAGCTTATCGTTTCTTTTCATGGCTGGTTGGACTTTCCTGTTACTGGAGTTGTCGTTGAATCCCTCCGTGGCAAAAGGTATGGCTAATATCTATTAATTGTAGTGAGTAAACGTCCTTTCATGTTCGCCACGGTTTTTTCACTTCTTCTCATAATTGTCAACAACCACCTCTAAAAATTACACAGCACTTATGCTTTTAGTACTTTTTCGACCAACGTTTCGGTTCAAGGGTGTAAATATGAAGAGAACTTGCGCAAAACATCACTTATGATTTTACTTCTGTACATGTTCTTCACACAGGACACCATGATGTACACGACGGATCAGCAAAGGTGAGTGTGAAACGTTCTTCATTATTATCTCGAAAATTCTTAAAGTTATTGAATTAAGCACAAATCTTCTTTTAAAATATAAATTTTAGACACATCAACACTGGAAAAAAACGTTTATCAGCCGTAGAATAGTCCAAAGGTCGAGAGACTAGAGAGTTCTTTACTTTATTTCCTTTTCATCTGGGCCGGCTAAGTTTTATTTCCCAATGAACTACTACTCATTTGAACATTTCCAAACATGGCGCAACATGGCTGTCAAACGTCGGGCATGCGCAAGGCAATCAATTTGGCCTGCCGCACGCCAATTTCCCGCGCAAAATTTCAAATGAAACAGTAATACACATCCCTTGTCACGCAAAATGAGCCGAGAAAATAAAACGTCCAGAGAGGGAAACAAAGGTAGAGAAAACGAGAGCTCTGGGTTCTTTAGAACGTAAAGCCCAGTAAATTACGTGTATCCTGCTGATTCATTATTTTGTTTTGAGTTTTACGGAAAACATTACACGGTTCTAAACCACTGTAACTAAATGGCTTGTGTGTTTTTTATGGCTCTTGTAACACAACTTGTTTCTTACAGTCCGAAACAAGCCGCCCATAATTAGCCACATTAGCACTCGCACATGCGCAGACGCAAAACGAAAAATATCAGATGGATTCGCTAAATATAGGATTATTGATAATGGTTATAATGAACGTTTTAGGAAAGCATTGAGGAAATCACTAAGCCGATGAACGACGAGTGGAACCGCCTTAGTTCCCAAATGTATTCTCTAAACGAACAAGGTCCTATCACGGGTCACTACCTGAAAATTGAAGGAAAATCTGTTGTTGCATATGCCAAAAATACAGATCCAAAAAGTAAGTATATATACAAGTTTTGGAACATGTTCACGGCTTTATTGTTAAAAAGATCGAGTTAAACTGCCAAGAGACAAAAGTTCAATGTTAATCAAATGCAGCAGTCTTCGGATAGGAGGCAAATCCGACCATGGCCGTTACTGAAAATAACATAGAAGGCGCTGATTTTGTAAAAGTGCGAGTGATGTCATGAAGTGCTTTCGACTAGTCTTGCTTAAAAAACGAGAAAAGAAAATAGAATAAAATAAAACGAAGCAAATCCAAATCGATCATTTTCTGCCTTACCATTGATATCAATTTGTATTATTTTTGACAGCTCACTTAATGGTCCATACTATTCTGGAAATGACCGGTAAAAAAATCGACCAAATTGTTATTTTGGAGAGTAGCAGTGGTGGAACCGTAGTGGCCGTAAACAAAACAGATGACACCGTCTTTGTAAAGGTATCACCGCCCACGGGGATGGAACGTTAAGGGGGTGGGGGGGAGGGGTGAGGGTGGGGAAAATTTAAGTTATTTACTAAAGAAAACAAGTCAAAATATGGATTAAGAAAAACAACAAAAACAAACACAAGAAAAGATTTCAATCAAGTAGTACAAAGAAAAAACCATCCAAACAAACAAAAAAAACCGAAAACATCCATGAATCTCTTGGAGCCCTCATTGCCCCATCCCCCCCCCCCTTCCATACCTCCCTCCTTCCCCCCCTCCCCTCCCAATCACTTTTCTGATAGTCCATCCTCTGGTGAGAATTGTGCGAGGTCCATGAATATCCAAGCACCAAATAAGCTTGGTTTAAAACCTTTAATTCCTTTTCATAGCTATCGAAATGATTTATTTTTTCCCTCAGTTTTGGAAACATTTGGAAATGGCAGGAGATAACGCTGATACATAACCGGCCTAAATTCATTTACGGATGCTAGAAATTACTAACTGAATACAATGTGTGAAGTTGAATGTTTCCTAGAGATTTTCTTACAATAATACAACCCTATCTGGTTTAAGAATTAATCCAGTGTTTTTTCTCCAATAGACTCTGTCGACATCTTTGCGCAGTCTTAACAACTTGGATAAAGTGAAACGTCTTTACCCTGAAATTCTGTTTAAAAAAGTACCCAGAGAAATTGGGAGTTACTACTTTTATTTTGAGTCATACCTTAGTGGTAAGAGGCGGGTTTTGGGATTTGATGAAAATGGTCTTGCAATGAACACCGGCCAGGTGACGCCTGATTCTTTGGAAAGTCTTATCGCTTCTCTATAATATCATGGATAGAAATAGAGAACACACGTGCGCAGTAAATAAGGTAATTTGCAATAAAAATTGCTATCGATAATATGCATATGAAACCAAACCGTAAACTAATAAACCGAAGACATGTAGAAAGACTGGGATCAAGAATAAAAACAGAATGGAACTAATCAAATGTGTCTCTTGGTTCAGTATATCTTGTTTTCATCGACCTCCATCATTTCCCCTTGGTCTTCGATTCATTTCTTAAAACATATTAAAACGCTAAACCTTTGCTAGAAAACTAGTTTTTGTTCCAGTTGCGTTAGTGCTTCAGATAAGTAATCAGCTCACTCCTGAGGAATAAAACGCAACACTATGCACTTTACCTGAAATGATCCTCTCGGTATATAGGACTTTGAATTAGAAATATGAACCTTAAAGGTGATTGCTCGCCAGTAAATTAACCTCTGCAGCGCAGATAAATATGTTATTTTTAATCGTATATTGAGAGTAATGCGTGATCGCATAAATTTTGGTTGACTTCCCTCTTTGATTGGTCGAGACAATTTGCTCAAATCAGATGCAAAACTAAATCCAATCGTGACTTTGCCCTCCTGTTTTCCCGCTCTTTTCTTGTTTTTATTATCATTTCGCGTTCGCTCCATGACGCCTTTACACTTATCCTGATTTGTTTAGATTATTCTGGTTTTGGTTTACAACTAGAAAAGAACTCTAACTTGGAATCGAATGCTGCTGTTACCGGTCCAAATTTCGTAGCTTTTCTAATCATGCCAGTCACCATCTTTCCACAACTTAATATCAGATCGTGTTAGTTTTCGATAGTATTCAAAGCAGGATAACAATTATTTACTGAATCTTCTAGGTGGCCATTCACGGCTATTTTAATAATGTAAACGTTCAAATGAGTGGACATTGGGGCTTCTGTTAATGCTGTCACCTTCTCTATTTTTTTGATTTCCACACGATAAACAAACTTAGGAAGCTGGAAATGTAGGCAATTTGGATATTATCTTGTTTCGCGGTAGCTTTTTTTTTTTAGTTGAGTGGGGACCACAAAATGCTACCATGTGTAAACTGTCAAATGGAAATAAATAACCTGCTCTTGAGGGCAGAATATGTCTTGTTTTTTGTATCGAGTCAAGTTGAAGCTACAGAAGGATGATCCAAATTTTGGAGAAATGCGGCGAAACAAAGAAAGTAGTTTATTCTTTCCCGAGCAGAACAGAAAAATATATCAAATATTCTGCTATCTGGCAATGAAGGCAGAAATTAAATGACTTGTCTAGTTATTTGGATTCCCCTCCTTTATGGTTATCACGTGATCGGTTTCGCTTCAAAGCTTTTTATGATTAAGAAAGCTTTTGCATGGTCTGACATCTGCTTTCAGATTAATTTAACACCGGAACAGTTCTTAATAATGTGGCTTAGAAGTAAGTCACCTCGAGGTGTAATTCCATTGTTATATCTCACTACAATTCCCTTTAGAAGGATATACCACTCTTTACAAACACGTTTATTTCTTTCCAGAAATATTTCTCGCATGCAACATATATAACTTTCCGATTCTTATCTGTACTAAAAAACCTCACTTACTCAAGCAAGCGACTGAAAAACGGAAGGAATATCTTACACATGATTCACATAACGCCACGCTGGTTGCCCCTTTTCTTTAGTGGCTTTTGGAATTTTTCACGGCATTTCGTCACAATAAGTGTCAAAATGTTAATGCCTTGTGTCACACTTTCCGCTGATCAGATGAAATAAGACTTACTTGTGTGGAAATAAGCCCATTATAAAATTGACAGGCGTTCCATTAAATTGACTACTGAGGTGACGTCACTAAACATAAATTGACATGACTTAACAAGATTTGACATCAATTGACATGAAATGATATGACATAACCTCACACGACATGGTTAAAAACCCTGCCTGACAGAAAGAAATATAGTTCGTTATCAGCCCGGCTTAGTAAAGGACCTACTCTCGGGACTATCTGAGAATAAACTGAGGCCAAAGGATAAACTCAAGCTCAGGAACTCTGCCGGATTGTGAGTTGAATACGTTGTCTACTACGATTTAAACTGAATGACTCGATAGTTTTACGTATTCTTCCATGTGTTTCAGAACTAAGAAATGACTGGAAAAAGCTTATCGTTTCTTTTCATGGCTGGTTGGACTTTCCTCTTATTGGAGTTGTCGTTGAATCCCTCCGTGGCAAAAGGTATGGCTAATATCTATTAATTGTAGTGAGTAAACGTTCTGTCATGTTTCGCCACGGTTTTTTCACTTCCTCTCATAGTTGTCAACTACCACCTCTAAAAATTACACAGCGCTTATGCTTTTAGTACTTTGTGGACTGATGTTTCGGTTCAAGGGTGTAAACATGAAGACAACTTACGCAAAACATCACTTATGATTTTACTTCTGTACATGTTCTTCACACAGGACACCATGATGTACACGACGTATCAGCAAAGGTGAGTGTGAAACTTTCTTGATTATAGTCTCAAAAATTCTAAAAGTTATTGAATTAAGCACAAACTCCTCCCTTAAAATATAGATTTTAGACGCATCAACACGTTTATCGGCCGTAAAATAGTTCAAAGGGTGCAAAGCCTTCCTTGAAGTCAGCAAGTTTGCTTTACTTTTCAAGCATCAGTTGACCTTGGCTTGAGAAAGGTAGAGCAGTAAACTCAAAGTACTCGAAAGTTTACCGAGCCGATGCGATCTCAAGTTAAAATCATACAGTTGTTTAGAGAGACTCGAGAGTTCTTTACTTTATTTCCTTTTCATCTGGGCCGGCTAAGTGTTATCTCCCAATGAACTACTACTCATTTGAAAATTTCCAAACATGGCGCGACATGGCTGTCAAACGTCGGGCATGCGCAAGGCAATCAACTGCCGTATGCCGATTTCTCGGCAAAATTTCAAATAAAACAGTAATACACAACCCTTGTCACGCAAAACGAGCCGAGAAAATAAAACGTCCAAAGAAGGAAATAAAGGAAGAGAAAACGAGAGCTCTAGGTTCTTTAGAACGTAAAGCCCAGTAAATTACGTGTATCCTGCTGAATCATTATTTTGTTTTGAGCTTTACGGAAAACATTACACGGTTCTAAACCACTGTAACTAAATGGCTTGTGTGTTTTTTATGGCCCTTGTAACACAACTTGTTCCTGACAGCCCGAAACACAATGCCCATAATTAGCCACATCCCCATTCGCACATGCGCAGACGTTCGATCACCGAGATTTCTTCACACTTTTGTATGCATTGCAATAAACTACTCACAACGCAGCTAATGGTGCATGCTAAAGAGTTGCAGCGATGTCACGACCATATTTTCTACGCTGGATAGGTTAGCAAACAGCGCGCGCTGTGAGTTCCTCCTTAACTAAGAGCGTTTTATTCTTGATTTCCAAACGGAAACTAAGTGCTTACTTGGCTTAAACGAAACACATGAAATAAGTCTTCGGTCATCTGTCGACTACAGTGTCCACTGTTGTGTGGTTGTATAAGATATCCCTGTTATTGTCTTTATAAATCTTTTTAATCATTGCTTTGTCCGAGATGGCGCATAGTTTATTCAATAATGTTTTCAAATTGCAACTTTTTTATATGTTAATGAGGTCATATCTGTGATCAAGAAGAGATATATTTCGGAAAAATATCTGATAGATTCGCTAAATAAAGAATAGGCCATTTTGCAGTTGTGCACTTAGTCGCCAAGCCTTTGATTTGGAATGAGGCTGAAAGTGACCTTGTTGTGATAGAGACCAATATTTAGTTAGCATGATGACAAAGTAATTTACATTTGAAAAGCAACAAGGTTTGTATCATAACAAGGTCACCCTTAGCCTCACTCCTGTTCAAAGGCTTGGCAACCAAGCACACAATTGTAAGATGGACTATTATTGATAATGGTTAAAATGAACGTTTTAGGAAAGCATCGAGGAAATCGCTAAGCCGATGAACGACGAGTGGGCCCGCGACACTGTCCAAATGTATTCCAGGAATGAAGTCGGTCAGGTCTCGGGTCACTACCTGAAAATTGACGGAAAATCTGTTGTTGCATATGCCACAGACACAGATCCAAAAAGTAAGTAGATATTCAAGTTTTGGAATATGTTCACAGCTTTCTTGCAAACGAGGTCGAGTTAAACGGCCAAGAAACAAAAGTTCAGTGTTAATCAAATGCAGCAGTCTTCGGATAGGAGGCAAATCCAACTATGGCCGTTACTAAGAATAACATGGAAGGCGCTTATTTTGTAAAAGTGCGGGTGATGTCATGAAACGCTTTCGACTAGTCATGCTTAGAAAACGAAAAAAACAGAATAAAGCAAAACAAAGCGAATCGAAATCGATCATTTTCTGCCTTTCCATTGATATCAATTTGTGTTATTTTTGACAGCTCAATTAAAGTTTCTTCATACTGTGGACCTGATTGGTCAAAAAGCAGTTCAAATGATTATTTTGGCGAGTAGCAGTGGTGGAACCGTAGTGGCCGTAAACAAAACAGATGACACCGTCTTTGTAAAGGTATCACCACTCACGGGGATGGAACGTTAATGGGTGTGGGTCGGGAAAGTTTAATTTATTTACTAATTAAAAATAGTCAGAACATTCATACATCTCTTGGAGCCCTCATTGCTCCATCCTCCCCCCCCCTTCCATACCTCCCTCCTTCCCCCCCCCCTCCCCTCCCAATCACTTTTCTGATAGTCCATCCTCCGGTGAGGATTGTGCGAGGTCCATGAATATCCAAGCACCAAATTCGCTTGGTTTAAAATATTCAATTACTTTCATTGCTACCGAAATTATTTAACTTTCCTCAGTTTTGGAAACACTTGGAAATGGCAGGAGATAACTGTGATACATAACCGGCTTAAATTTATTAAAGGAAGCTGGAAATTACTAACTGAATACAACGTGTGAAGTTGAACGCTTCCTAGAGACTTTCTAACAATAATATAACCCTATCTGGTTTAAGAACTAATTCGGTGTTTTTTCTCTACTAGACTCTGTCGACATCTCTGTCAAGTCTTAACAGATTGAAACAAGTGAAACTTCTTTATCCTGAAATTCTGTTTCGAAAAGTATCCAGAGAAGCTGGGAGTGAGATCTTTTATTTAAAGTCATACCTTAGTGGTAAGAGGCGGATTTTGGGTTTTGATAAAAAAGGTCTTCCATTGAATACCAGCCAGGTGAGGCCTGATTCTGTGGAAAGTTTTATCACTATTATATAAGATCATGGATAGAAATAGAGAACACACAAGCGCAGTAAATGGAGTATTTTTGAAATGAAAATTGCTATCGATAATATGGAGATGAAACCAAACCGTTAACTCATAAACCGAAGACATGTAGAAAGACTGGGATCAAGAATAAAAACAGAATGAAACTAATCAAATGCGTCTCTTGGTTGAGCTTGTCTTGTTTCCATTGACCTCCATCATTTCCCCTTGGTCTTCGATTCATTTTGTTAAAACATATTAAAACGCTACACCTTTGCTTGAAAACTAGTTTTTGTTCCAGTTGCGTTGGTGCTTTAGATAAGTAATCGGCTCACTCCCAAGGAAAAAAATGCAACACTATGCACTTTACCTGAACTTATCCTTTCAGTATACAAGACTTTGAATTAGAAATATGAACCTTAAAGGTGATTGCTCGCCAGTAAATTAACCTCTGTAGCGCAGATAAATATATGAATATATATAGTTTCTCTTTGTACTACTCTAGTGGGAAACTTTTTATTGTTAATTGTATATTGAGAGTAATACTTGATCGCATAAATTTTAGTTGATTTCCCTCTTTGACTGGTCGAGACAGTTTGCTCAAATCAGATGCAAAACTAAATCCAATCGTGACTTTGTCCTCCTGTTTTCCCGCTCTTTTCTTGTTTTTATTATCATTTCGCATTCGCTTCTTGACGCCTTTTCACTTATCCTGAACTTTGAATTATCTTTTCAGCGCGGATAATATGGTATGCATACGCCCCGAAATCCTCACGCAGCTTGTTTTCTATTTGTCCCACTCTAAATATTTAAGTTCTTTCTTAAGAGAAGTTCTCAATTGTTAATCGATAGTGGTCGCTATCTTGCAGGGTTTAGTTTATTTCCCTATTTGATAGGTCAAGAAAATTCGCGCCACCTTATCAACCAATCAGAAACAAAACTAATTCCAATATTGACTTGGCACTCTTGCTTTTTCGCACTCCGAACAGTATTCCTGTTTCAACTTTGAGCAGTCATTGGTTCCGTGAGGCATTTTACCCTGTCCCGATTAGCCGTTCGGGTTATTTTGGGTTTAGTTTACGTCACTTGATGAGAAAGCTCTCTAGCGTATGCTACCGTTACCAAAAGCGTTACCGTTATCTTATTGTGTGACACAGTTAGCCGTGATTTCTCGGAAGCTTGTAAACTCTCGAAACCAAGCTAAACTTTACTATCCCGACCCTTGTTATAACGAACTGGCAGCCTGTCCAGTGAGCGCATTGAACATGAATAATAAAATTAAACGAATCAGCTGTTGAATTTGAGAACAATAGGCCATTGATTGAATCACTGTCACGTGACAAGGTGGACTTTGCTAGAAAAATTCTTCAATCAATGTTGACGTCCCAGTTGGTGTTTCTAGGAAATCACTGATACCTCACAGACGACAAACATGCAGAAATCCCAAACGCGGGCCATTGTTTTGCCTTTTTGGACGTTTGCTGTCCTTGTAACGGCACTAGTTGGCCTATTCCCAGCGTTACTGTATTGTATTGGTGAGATTGTAGTGCTGAAATCACGCTTTGAGCAACAACAGCAGACAATCGAGTACTTAGAAAACGTCACAGCGCATATTCAACGCAGAACTGTGGAAAACGATTTCTCGAGCGGCGAAACGCAAGAGGCTTACCAGAGTTTAATGAAATGGAAGGTTTGACGTTTTTACGTTTCCTTGACTGACAATTTTTATTTTGAACGACCTCGAGGTCTTAGAAACCGGTCGCTCAATTATACACACAATTGTCAAAGCTTGGCAGCTACTTAGGAACGCAAAGCACAATTACTCATTCTTTATCGGGTTTACACAAGACCTTAACGTGAATTGACATCGTTTCTACACTAACTCAGAGTTAGTCCACATAGGTATCTACAAGAAAACCAAGCTAGATATTTATTTGTGGAAAACTAAACGTCATTTCCGCATTGTACATTGTTTAGGAAAGCGAAATACGACTGATGAGACAGAGGAGGGACACTGGTTCACGAAAAAATGATTCATGCCGCTGCAGGCGAGGTAGATATATCACTGAGATTTTCATCCAGTTTAAACAAAACTACAAAATATAACAAAAAGAATGGGACTAGGCGCAAGTTAATATCGGCTTGGGGTGTTATTTAGCAGCCTTAGATAGAGGGCTAGTGCATCGAGTTTATAAAATCCCCTCTCCCCCCCTTTCCCTGCCCAATACCCTTCCCCTTTTGTAAAGAGTCTGGGGCGCGAGGGAAAGCAGCAATGTTCATTCTGAATGAGAAGACAAGCAGCCAAAGAAGCGGTCCAAAAAGCCCGGGGTTCGTGATAAAATGATAAAAAATTGGCCATACATATTTTTTGCTTAAAACACTTTTTCTCGGCAATGAGGCATCCTAGAGGCACACACAAATTATGCTTTTCCCTGGGAACAGACATTTCCCAGAATTCTCCCCTTTCCAACCCCTCTTCCCCCCTCCTTTCTCTCCCCCCCCCCCCCAACGACCTTCGGCTCCAGTTCAATTGCATTCCTAGCAGTTTCACTTTTTCCGTCTAAATACACAGCCTACAAGAAGAGATTTGTAAAATGAGGCACTTCTTCAATTGTTCGCATAATGCTTATTTTGCCTTTACTCGAGCTGTTGGCTGAAGTCCATGAAAAGCTTATTTCTCGGAAGTCCTCTCTTACATCAAAAATCGCTTTTTGAACGAGGTGTGAAATTCAATCCTGCGACAGGCCTAAAATAAGATAGCTGTTCGTTTTCCAATTAATTCTAAAAGAAAGGAAAAAAAAGTTTTAACTTGCGACCTAATTTGCTTTTTATAACTTTGTCTGGATGATTCAAATTTTGTTGTTATGATATACAGTTACATAACTTGAGGTCAGGTATTGGGTCACTTTGGATAGTGGTTTATTTTGAAACTATATATATCGAAACAAAGCTTTATTAGCTTACCAAGGATATTGTTCCTGTAAGACAATACAAATCAGATGTGGTCTGGCACGTTCTTGACCTTGGAGTCTCAATTCTAAACAATGTCTAGAAGCAATATCAATTTGCCTTGCAAAATTAAAATTCTGTTTTGAAAGCAGCTCTTTTTGATAAAGACTATGGTTTAAGCTTCATGTACCAAAGAAAGTGAGGTCCTATAAAATGAGTCTTAAACGAATTTTAATGTCAGTTTATGCATGTTTTGGTACTTCACGTAATGACTTAAACGTCACGTACTGTAAAGGATAACTTGTCACGCGAAACAAAAAATACGGAATGACCAGACACGTATATTCACGTTACACAAGTCTTTCGGTAAAAAAAAAGTTTTTCTATTTTAGGTCGTAAAGGAGAGCGGGGACCAAAAGGACAGAAAGGTGATGTAAAATGAAGGGGGAAGTTGATGTTATAATTTTGAAAAGGCATCCTTAATCGTACGAATTTCATATCTATTTTTCCATTCACACAAAAGCTTAAACGTGTTTTAAAGCTGTTTTGTTAAACACGATTTAAATTTGTTTTCTTCATAGAAGCAGCTTAAACCGATGTTTGTCGACTTCAAATTTAGCGCATTAAAGTACAAGTTAGTGACTACTTGAAGCCGATGGAAAATTCAGTTTTTCAGCTCTCTGTATCTTATTTTCATTCAATTAATCCGGATTTAACTAAACATGTCTTACTAGTGTGAATGGGGTATATGAAACTTAAGACTGTTGTCAGAGCCAGCAAAGCAAGTGCTTAAATTATTCGTATATTTGAGCGCGAGTCTTTTTAATGTTTACAAATAGACACGCGCGGACATACGCAAAGAGGACATTTATCCTCGCGGTATCTTTTCCTACGTGTGCGCCTTTGTGATTCGCTTGCTGTTTAAGCGCATGACTAGGATGTAATTAGGAGTAGCCTCTAGGTCAAGATCCTGTGTAGAAACTTGTTATATTCAATTCAACAGAGGCTCTAATGTGTGTAAATAACAATCTGTTTTTTTTCTGTGCAGGATCGACCGGACGAAAGGGAAGGGCAGGTAAAAAAAACTTGTTTTTCAAAACTAGAAAGAAAAAGTATTTGTATCTCTTTTAAATACTGCATCCAGTTACGATTGTGGCGGGAAAAATATAATTTGTTGAGTAACCTACAATCTTACGAATGGTTATCATGGTCATGAAAGATCAACACCACCATGATCGTCATCATCACCAGCATCATTATCATTATCGTTAGCGGATCCCTTTAATCAACAACTTGAGTAGAACGTGTATACATATCATACAGGCGCGGTTACCGAACCGAAAGCACTTTTCTTATTCGTTTCGTTTTTTTTTTTTTTCCTCAGGACCTAAAGGTGACACGGGAGCACTCGGCAACACTGGACCGCCGGGAAGGGATGGACAGAAAGGGAAAATCGGTACGAGCGTTGTGTTTACTTTAATTAGTAATGGCAGCTCACCAAGACTGCCGCTAGGAATCTTGTCTAATGCTTCAGATGGTCTCATACCACCGTTCCTTACTTTAAAATACTAGTCTTGATCGATCCCCTCAAGATAAGATATTTTCTCTTATTAACACATTCAAAAACAATGGACGAATAACCTCTTACCTAGGTCTCTATTGCTTCTCTTTCAGGTGAGCGAGGAGAGCCTGGGCCTCCAGGTAGTGAAGAAGTCTCTACTGGGCACCTACACAAAATATATGATAGCTCTGATTAAAATTTTTTCTTGGAAATGCACCATTCATAAGTTCCACTTACCATTTCATATAAAAAAGCGGCTGTCTCGTCAAGTGCGTAATTCAATCTGAATAGGAATGACACACATGGCACATTTTGTGGACTAAAACTAAAAAACCGGAGCAAAATTTGAGAAAACGAGCCACATAAAGGCCAAGTTTTTTAACTTTTCCTGTTTATCTTTTCTTATATTATTGCACTGAGTGTTTGCACACCAGTCATAAGTGTAATCAAATGGTTTTTATTGACAATTTCTTTGCCTTTACGTTTAAAACAGGACAACCAG